AAAATAAAAAAAGCCCACAAAAGATTACCTTCTAAATTAGAAATGTATATACAAATGAGTAACTGTGTGGTTATTATGTGGAAGGAAGGACCTCTTAAAAAAGATAAGGCATGCTTCTGTGAGGTGATGAGGGACCACTAGGTAGCCAGTCCAATGAATTTTGCATATATTTTTTATTGGTTTGGAATACCCAATCATTGACCATTATTTACTATTGCTAGGGATGGTCTGTAAACTGGAACTTCCATAATCCTTCTTGGATCAGTACTGAGGCTAAGAACTTATTCATTTGATAAGCTTTTTTATCTTTACCCTTAACTTTACTCTTGGTTCAAGTTACTTAAAATCTTTTCTGACTCATTTTCTTTGATGTGTTTAAATCTTTTTATTGTATTTATTAGTTTTGTAATCCCTTTCCAGGAGATCTTCAAAGTTTTGTGTTTTCCTGGTCCATTTAATAACTAGTTCAACATTAACCGTGAACTTGGCACATTCCTTAGGTCTCTGTGTGACTGACATTCTCATACGGTGATCTTTTTAACATGCAAATCTGATTGTGTTACTCCTCTGCTGAAACTATTTTAATAGTTCTCCCTTGGCACAAATTCAGTTCTTAGCATGACATACAATGCCCTTCAAGAGTTGGCTCCTCATCTCCCACCACTCTTTCCTCAGGCTGCTGAGCACCGCTGATTTCTCCAGTCTCAGTACCTCTCCACCCCACCCCTGCCTAGTGTCTTTTAGGCTGAGGGAAGAATATTGGGTTGTTTCTCTCAAATTTCCCTCCCCTTTGTTCATGTGACAAACTCTTACCCTTCAATCTCAACTCAGAATTCACTCCTTGTGGACACCTTCCCTGAGACTTCCTCACAGATTGGGTGCATTTTCTTTGTCTTGGTTTGAAAATCTAAATCTGAATTAAGGACTTAAAAAAAAAACCTTTTCTTCATTGCAAGCGGTTTTACACAAGATCTCAGTGGAAGAAGCCAAGGACTGTAGTTTCTTTAAATGGTGTTTACTATTCCTTTCTCTCCACTTATTTTTGTAGGAGTAGGGAGGCGAAAGGGGGAAGAAAGGCACCTCACTCCTCTGATGGCTCTTTCTGTACTTAGTATTGGCCAAAGAAGGAGCAGAGAGGTGAACAGTGGGGATGCTCCTCGTGAAATGCCAGAGTGGGAGAGGCCACTCCTTGAAGCGTCTTCTGAAAGTTTTATTCACTTAGCTGCATCTGTGTGCGATTTGAGAGGTGATGGCAGAAACTTGGACTCAGGCCCTGCCAATACACTTTAATCTTCTACCTGTGTCCTTCACTATCTTTTATCTTTCCCCATTGCCCATGGGACACCCACCCATCCCCTCTGTCCTCTGAGCACTGGCCCTATCAGAGTTGCTTTTTTAGTCTGGTATTGTCCTGACAAATCCATGATGATGACTGAAAGGAAAGACCAGCATGCCCTGGACAAGTGGCTCAACTGGTTTCAGCATTGTCCCAGTATGTAAAGGCTGCAGGTTCGATCTCCAGTCAGGGCACATATAGTAATCAACCAATTGGATGTGAGGGTGATCTGGCTGCCACATCTGTCACCCCATTGATCACCAGGGTTGATTTGGATGATCTGGCTGGCTAGGTGGGTGTACTCTTCCACCCTCACCAATCCATATGGGTCCCTGACGAAGCTGCACACTCAGTAGAACAAAAATTGATGTCTGTCTGTCTGCCTCTTTCTCAAATCAATTTGAAAGAAGATTCTTTCCCCCCAAAGAAAGAAAAAGAAAGAAAGAAAAAGCCAACAGACACATATAACAGAAACTTTCTTTAATGACCATGGAAACAGAGACTTACTGAAACAGGCATACAAAGCAGGAAAACAACACAGGGTGCTTCCAGGTGATTTACAGACTTTTCAAGTTCCTGCAGTCCCCAGTTGTGAAGAGTGAGACATCTTTGCCATTCTCACCGGGAATTTCCAATCTTCCCTCTGCTTCATTTTCTGGAAACTGCAATTGCCATGTCTGCTCTACAGCTGCAAGCAATTGATGTGAATTAACCCTAGCAAATTCTGGAGTGTTTATTAGAAGTCTAGGTGAGCTGAAGGTGAATTTGCCAAATGGAGCATCTTAAATTTAAAGGCCTAGCTTTCAGGGTGGCTTTTGTTTGGTCTATTATTACATATGGTGTTATCCCTGCATTATTGTGAGGGAAGTATTACGCCCCTTACTTAGTAACATGAAATCTGGCATCAGATTGCTAGAGTTTGAATTTTTGGGTGACCACCCATCCTGGCTTTTCCAGGACTGAAAATTTCTATCAGGGGTGCAGGACTCGTCAATGGACACTTGCAGGCAAATTGGGACAGTGGGTCACACTAGATCTTTGTCACTAGCTGTGTGACCTTCCACAAGGTACTTAACCTTTCAGCACCTCAGATTGCTCAAGCCTAGGATGGAGAAAATAATAGTGCAACATGATGGAAGTATTATTGGGGTTAAAGAGTTAATACTTGTGGACTTCCGCCAAGATGGAGGCGTAGGTGGGAATACTTTGCTTCCTCGCACAACCAAATCTAAAAACAACAAAGTTTTAACAATGATAAATGCAACCAAACCACAGAAAATTGAACAATATGAAGTCCAAAAAACAAAGAACCACTCATCTAAACCGGTGAGAGGGGCAAAGCCAGCAGCAGAGGGGGTGGGGCAAAAAGATTCCCCCACCCCCTGACCTGGGCAGTGTGCAGGCAGCCCAGGGAGAGGATCCCAGGTGCGGGGTAGCTACGGGCGGACCCAGGGAAGGTGCGCACGGCTAGCTGTCTGTGGTTGTGCATTTGCGCACAGATAAACCAGTGAAGAGGCGAGCATTGAGACAGACCACGAAGGCCCCTGCGCAGGATGGAGGGCTCGCACATTTGCGCTCAGATAAACAGGTGGGGGCGAGCGGTGAGGCAGACTGGGGGAGTGGAGAGGACTGCCGTTGCTCCCTCTCTGACCCCACCCCCACATACAGCATCACAAACCAGTGACCTGGGTGGCCCCGCCCTGGTGAACAACTAAGGCACCTCTCCTCATACATAACATGCACAAACACATCAAAACATGGCTCAAGAACAACTCAGAGCCCCAGAGCCAATAAATCTAAGTGATGAAGAAATAGCCAAACTTTCAGATGCACAGTCCAAAACACTGGTGATCAGGATGCTCACAGAACTGGTTGATTTTACTCACAAATTAGAGGAACATATGAAGGCTAAACTAATTGAAATGAAGGGAAATGCACAGGAAACCAATAGTAATGGAAAGGAAACTGGGACTCAAATCAAGGGAGCAGACCAGAAGGAAGAAAAAAATAACCAAACAGAAAAATATGAAGAAACAAGAATTCAAAAAAATGAGGAGAGGCTTAGGAACCTCCAGGACATCTTTAAATGCTCCAACATCTGAATTATAGGAGTACCAGAAGGGGAAGAGGAACAGTCACAAGTGGAAACCTTATTTGAACATATAATACAAGAGAACTTCCCCATTCTGGCAAAGAAAATAGACTTCCAGGAAATCCAGGAAGCTCAGAGTCCCAAAGAAGTTGGACCCAAGAAAGAACACACCAAGGCACATCATCATTACATTAGCCAAGATTAAGATGAAGGAGAGAATCCTACAAGCAGCAAGAGATAAGGGGACAGTCACCTACAAAGGGGTTCCCATCATACTGTCAGTGGATTTCTCAAAAGAGACCTTACAGGCAAGAAGGGGCTGGAAAGAAGTATTCCAAGTCATGAAATCCAAAGACCTACAACCAAGATTGCTCTATCCAGCAAAGCTTTCATTTAGAATGGAAGGGCAGATAAAGTGCTTCTCAGATAAGATCAAATTCAAGGAGTTCATCATCACCAAGCTCTTATTATATGAAATGTTAAAGGGACTTACCTAGGAAAAAGAAGATAAAAAAGATGAACAGTGAAAGGACAGCAAACTCACAGTTATTAACAATCACACCTAAAATAAAAGCAAATTAAGAGGACAGCTAGATCAGGAGTGAACCATAGAAATGAAGATCATGTGGAGGGTTAGCAACAGGGGAGTGGGAGAAGGAGAAGGGGGGAGAAGGTACAGAAAATAAGTAGCATAGACAGTAGATAGAAAATAGATAGGGGGGAAGGTAAGAATAGTAGGGGAAATATAGAATATAAAGAATTTGAGACACGCGGTCATGAACTAAAGGGGGAATTGTGGGGAAGGGGTGCGAAGGGTGGAGGGGAATAAAGGGGGGGAAATAGAACAAATGTAAAGGCATAATCAATAAAATAAAATATATATTTAAAATTTTTTTAAAAAGTTAATACTTGTCCCCCTGGCAATGGACAAAGACATGCCCGATTGGTGGCATTGCTTTTACATCAGTCAGGGGCAGAGCAGTTGCACAGTCCTTAGTTCATCCCAGCTTGTTGCCTGCGTTTGTGGCCAAAGTGGGTTCATGCCTGGGGCACATGAAAAAAAAAGTTATTACTTGTAAAGTACTTGTAACAGTGTCTGGCATATATGAGTGTTTACTGAATTAAAAAATTAAGAAAGATATATTTTACACTGGGTATAATCTCAATGTCCAAGCAATCCTTGGATCATCTCAGGAATTTCCAAAATGAAATTTCTCATTTATATACACACTTACATATATACATATAAAAATTCTGACTAATGCAGCTTTTACCATCTAATTTTACATAGACTACAAACTGAAAAGCAACATTTTCACTGTAATGTTGAATGACAAAATGGCACTATGTAAAGTGATATGAGAGGTAAAGGAAGACTACTGATTGTGAGGAATGTCCTCCAACCCCCTGCCTCTCTTTCCTTTTTGCTCTTATGCTACTTTAAACAAAGCTCCATTATAACTAATACGATGTTGTATGAGTACGTTAATTACACCCCAATAAAATAAAGCTCCACTACAGTAATTACGGTATTGTATTAGAATTGTATGTTTATTACAACATGAGAGAGGATGTGCAAGAATTGGGAGGAGCACAAAGGGAGAGCCTGTGCTGCGCTGACCGCATGGAGGGACAGGAGAGCTTCAGCCAGTGGCCATTACCATCCACACTCTTCCTCCAGAAATGAGAGACCCCCACGCATCTGGTTAGGCACGCCTCCTCCAACGGAGGGGAGTGGGTAATGGTGGAGAAGGCAACAAGAAGGGTTCCTCCCACATTCTAGGGAAATAAAAAGAGGGATAGATTAGGGATTTTTCTCCTTCCCACACTGCATTTTGATGAAAAGCCCCCTCCTCTAAAATATTTGTTAATGCTCTGAAGCTTTAATCCTTGGGGCTCAAATCTAGAGCAGTGTTCTTGACAAAGAGTGAAGTCCATGCAATCTTAAATATTTTAAATGAACGGTATGGTGGTCACCAGAGGGAATAGGGGCTGGGAGTGAAAAAGAGTAAAGAGAGTCAAATACAGTTTGACTTTAGGTGGTAAACACACACTGCAATATACAGATGATCTATCAGAATTGTGTACTTGAAATCTATGTAATTTTATTAACCAATGTCACCTCGATAAAGTTAATTTAAAAAAATGTTTCACTTACAAAAACACAGTATCTTCAGGTTTTTGAACCCCATGAAAAGGAGCCATAGACTCCCCTCAATCCTTCTTAAAATCATGCTTTTCTTCTCCCATAGGTCTCCTGCTCTGTTCGGTGAGGCAGCCCAGTACCTCACCTCCTTAGAGCCACTCTCGTTTCCTTCACTCCACTGCATTGCACTCTCCAGACTAGAGGCATCTGTTCCTACTCCATTTTTCCTTTACCCCTGAGCTCCTTATTACATAAATGGACTTAATTGCTTTGCTAAATTTTTGCCTCCTCCTAGGAATATTCTCAGGCTCTAAATCTGTGTTGTCCTTCCAATTTGCTGGCACCATTGTAGCTACTGAGCACTTGAAATGTAGCTAATCCAATTTGAGACACACTGCTAGTACTGAATTCAAAGACTCAGTATGAAAAAAATAATGTAAAATATTTCATTAAAAAGTTTTATATCAATTGCATATTAAAGTGCTAATATTTAGATATACTGGGTTAACTAAAACATTAAATCAACTTCATTTGTTTCTTTTGAAATGGGGCTACTAGAATGTTTAAAATTACATGTGTGGCTTACATAAATTTCTATTGGAGAGTAGCATTCCAAATCAGGTCAGCAAACATTTTCTGTTTAGGGACAGAAGGGGTATCTTTGTGCTTTGTGGGCCCCATAGTCTCTGTCACGATTACTCCATTCTGCCCTCACGGTGCAAACAGCAGCCACGGATAATAAGTAAACTAATGGGTTTTGCTGTGTGCCAATAAAACTTCATTTATAGACACAAAACATTGAATTCAAAATAATTTTTACCTAATAAAACAGCCTTTATGTTTTTTTAATTTAATTATTTTAAAATGTAGAAGTTCTTTTTAAAAAATTTTTTAGCTCAAAAGACTTAAAGCCTGATTTGGTCTGCCGGCCATAGTTTGCCCACCATTGATTACTCACATCCACTGCGTCCTAGGGATAAGATTATCTTTACTGCCATATAAAAGGTCTCCAGGGCTATGCCTGTTGAGTAAGTGAGTGCAATGCACAGAGAAGAACTGCAGGTACTTAGAGAAGGATTACCTAGTCTATTGGGGGCCTGAAGTCAGAGCCTTCTGGGTTGTCTCACAGATACGTGACGTGAGCCTTGGGTGGCCAGATCTTCTCATTTGCTTTTTCTGGGAGAAGCAGTAAATTCAAATATTTATGTTAAATTTTCCAATTACTAATTTCTCCCCACTCTTATATAATTTCTCTATTTTATTTATGGTTTTCTTCTTTGCAAACATGTATTCTTTCCTGAAAATAGCTTTTGAGTGACTTGCATATGGGAGCTGTCATGAGTCAACAGAGCCAGGCTTTTATTTTAGTTCCACTGTGATTGTTTCAGGCCAAGTAAGTGCTTAGAAAACTATGTGTATTGACTGCCATAAAAAAACAACAACAACACAAACACTGATTTGGGGGTTTAAAAAATATCACTTCTGCCCTGGCTGATGTGGCTCATTTGGTAGAAATGTCATGCCAGAAACTGAAAGGCTGCAGGTTTGAGATGAGGGCACATGCCTGGGTTTCAGGTGTGTCCTTGGTCGGGGTGCATGTGAGAGGAGGTAGCAGGCCAATGTTTCTCTCTCACATCAGTGGCTTTCTCCCTCTCACTCTCTCTCCTTAACCCTCTTTCTAAAATTAATGAGTGCTGCCTGGCTGATTTAGCTCATTGGATTGAGCTCGGGCTTTGAACTAAAGGATTACTGGTTCGATTCCCGTCTGGGTACATGCCTGGGTTGCAGGCCAGGTCCTGAATGAGGGACACATGAGAAGCAACCACACACTGATGTTTCTCTCCCTCTCTTTCTCCTTCCCTTTCCCTCTCTCTAAAAAAATAAATAAATAAGCAAAGTAAAATTAATAAGCATGTCCTCAGGGGAGGATAAAAAATGAATAAATAAAATACCACTTGCACATTTAGTTTGATGGTTACTTTTGGGCTATCTTTCTTCCTAATTGGAATCACTTTGTACAATTAGCTTAATAAAAATTATTATGAAGTAATTTTTTTTTCTATTGCTACAATAGAATAAGGTCCCAAATTTATTTTGGGAAAGTCTGCTGTTCCTGAACTCTACCAACTGGAGACTACTACTTGATATCAAAGAGCTTCCTTCTTGAGAAATGCGCATGGTTCAGAGTTACTTGAGCTTCCCAGTTTTGCCAAGTGGGCTTCTTATACCCAAGAGTTAAATCATTTTATCTTTGACATTAAGGAGCAGTTTAGCCAATTTTTATTTAGGTCAATCTTACAAAAAATACACTTAGGTTGATTTAATTTTATTTCATAGCATTTTTCATGTATATTCACATGAGTTCAATGAACTGCTACTCCCTAATATGTAAAATTAAACAATAAAGCTGCAGTAATTACATTCAGATCTAATTTTTTAAGGTTCCTACCCATGAAACAAGGCCAGCTTTTTAAAATGACCAATAGGATCAAATACTAGCTTAGTGGGGGAAAGGAATAAAGGTAAAGACTGCTGCTCTAAGAAGATCAGGACCAGGATTGTTCTGATTTATCTCAACTGAAAGAATGAAGTTGAGCGCATCTTCATTGGATTTGTTCGTAACGACAGAACGAATCCTGTGTGGCCCATACTTTTCCATTCTCATGTTGTTATGAAATTCAAACTGCGCCCATAATATCTTATTCACATTGTTTCCTGTTATTTAACAAGTAGATTTAGACCAGGAAATATAGCATCTTGAGGAACTCAAATACTAAATACTTGCAAGGTTTTCAACATTGCCTTTTAGCAGATTTTCTTATTTCTCTACATAATTCCAAGTATTTATTTTCCCTTATATTTATCTTTCTCTTTTAAACAATATCGCTCCACCCAAATATGCTTTCCATTGAGGTTTATATAAAGTAGCAAAGTTTATTTTTCTGTGTGCTTTACATATAATAGGTAAACATACAATAAATATTTGTTAAATAAATTCATAATGTTAGGGAAACTGCTTGTTCTTTAATGCTTCATATTATTCTAATGTGTTCCTTCCATAGTTTTACAGATTAATGAACCTGGGAACAGAAGCAATTTTATCCACTAATATGGTAACTGTTTTACTCTTAATTAGAGTTACAGCAGCAAAAATCTAAGCCTCAAGTGTCTAGCTGCGAATTTGGATCAAGACAATAAATCAAGGAAGACAAATAAATTGGGATATTTTGTGTTGTGACCTGGAAACTGCCTTTACATCTTTTTTTTTTCTGCCATGTGAAAATGATCTGTGCCTTAAGGCTCAACTTAGGGTTTGGCATATAGTCAGACCATTGCCTTAGCCCTCTAATCAAAACATTGGGCACACAGCGGGGCCAGTACACAGTTTTAAATACAGGTTTATATAATAGAATAAAATGTCTTGATTGAAGGAAAAGTTAAGAAGTCTGACATCTCTAAATGATACTTCTGGTGCCTTTTGTTTACAAAGTAACCACAGTTTGGGTAACAACTACAGTATAAAGACTAATTAATTGATAAACTATATGGGCTATGTTATATGCAATTATAGCTACCACACTGGGGTTACTGAATAAAAGTCAAAGTCTGTCTCTATAAGCTTTTTCCCTAGAGTGAAAAGAATTTTTCCACAGTAGAGTTATTGTATTTGTAATTCCCATACATTTGTTTTGTGGTCTAGTTTGGATTTCTTTTTCCCCATACATTTGTTTTGTGGTCTAGTTTGGATTTTATTTTTCTTAAAGTGGTTTGGGTTTATATTGTTTATTCATTCTTTATTTGTGGCTTGATTTTTTTCAACACTTATTTCACTTATTGACTTTCTCAGCCCCTGACCAACATTTTAAGGAATGAGAGGTGCCTTTGTACATTTCTCTCCCAAGTTTGGAAAGGAACCACAGGCCTTCTACCTTGTTTTTATTTCGTGTTCTCTTACCACATTCCTCTTTCTGGTACCCAATCCATAAAAATTCTCCATAACAATCCCAGCTCTAAAATAAGAGCCCGAAGAGTGATCTCTTCATCTGCTATTTGTTCAGCACTGCTGACCAATGTCTAAAGACATTGTGCTGGCTACACCTGATCAAGAAGTCCTATTCCTGATTCTGAAAGTGCTAGCCTGACAGGTGTCAGAGGTAGGATACCTTTAAAGAAAATATTATCTGAGAATAAAAGCATTAGGTGGTTTCCAAATGAGCCCAGGCTACTCGTCCAGCTGCCCTTGAGCAATAAAAAAGGAAAGTCAGTGCATTATACACTAGGTCAGTGATAAAAGCCATGAATAAAATAATCTTTCTAAGTTAGACAGTGATGATATTGGCAGTCCTTGAATGTTATTTTAAAAAAACCACACTTCTTTTTCAGAAACGCTTAATGGGGCACAATTAAGCAGTCTGTAGAATCAAATGACCTTTAAATTGCTGTAATCTCATGAGAGAAACCTTTCACAAACAGCATCTACTTTTGAAAAAACATTCACATGAAAATATTGTCACTAATTTAGCTTGGCATGCCCCCCGTCCATGTCCTGGGTCTTGCTCCCTTTTGGAGCCCTTCATTTCCGGTGAAAAGCTGAGATCACCAAAAGATACTGACCTCAAAGATGTCAATCAACCCAAAGCTATCACACTATTATAATTCAAAAACAATTTTTTTGGTGGTGAGTGGAAAGGAGAAAATATAAAGCCTCAAATACCTCCCCCATTCTAACTCTGTCTTTTCTTTCAAATACAATCCTTTATATCATATTTTCTTCTCCCCATATTCCCTACTTTCATCCTTGTTAATTTTTTAAAGTAAACAAAAGGAAATACTATTGTCTTGGCTGGGTGGCTCATTTGGTTGGAACATCGTGCTGTGCACCAAAAGGTTGCTGGTTCCATCCCCTGTCAGGGCACATACCTAGGCTGTGGGTTCAATCCCTGGTCAGGGCACATACAGTAGGCAACTGATCAATGTTTCTCTCTCTCTCTCTTCCTCTCACTCTAAAAAATCAACAAGCATATCCTCGTGAGAGGATTAAGTGGAAGAAAGAAAGAAAGAAAGAAAACCAGACTACTCAAGAAAGACACTGAACTATGACTTCAGAAATTTCTTCTGAATCCTGAGGATCCGTTTTCCCCCTAAAATTTATATTTTGAAAAATAAATCTGCAGAAAAGTAGTACAATAATTACTTCTACTCATTTGCTTTGTCTTTCTTTTCTATCTCAATTTATATTTATATATAACTGAATATATTCGTTATTTTGACTGATCTACTTGAGACTAAGTTATAGGCATTATGACACTTTCCTAAATACTTCAGCATACATTTCCTGAGGACTAGGAGAGTTTCCTGTGTAACCACAATGCCATCAGTACATCCAGTTAATATAACCTTGATATAGTAACATCAATAAATATATAGTACACATTCAAATCCCCCCACTTGTTCCAGGAATTTCCCTAAGCTGTTTTTGTTTCTATGTTTGTTTTTGGATCTATAATCCTGTTAACTATCAAGCATTGTATTTAGTTGTCATGTTTCTTTAACTTCTGGAACATCTCCTCACTTTTTTGGGGGTGGGGTTCTGTTATAATATTGACATTTCAAGGATCCAGGCCAGTTATCTTATAAAATGTCCCATGTGATCTGGGTTTTGCCTGTTTTTTCCTCACCATTAGATTCCAACACTTTGGGCAGAAATAGTAAATAAGTGATGCTATATGCTTGTTATCAATCACATCAAGAGGCATATGATGTCCGTTCTTCCCATTACTGGTGATGTTAAGTTTAATCATTTGGTTAAATGGTGTTCACCAGTTTCTTCACTGTAAAGACCATTTCTCCCTAAGTATTTTATATGTAATCTGTGGAGTGATACAATGAGACACTGTATCATTGAGAATAACGTATTTTCCAAAAATATTTCATTTTCTATACTTTCAGCATATGGTATATTGATGAGCCTGGACTAAATCTATTACTGCACTCGTGGCTATAAAATGATGATTTTTCTAATTCTAACATTCCTTTTACATATACTAATTAGCTAGTATTTTTCTGTAAGGAGCTTTTGCTTTTACCTGCTTATTTTTTTTAATTATCATTATGGACTCATAGATTCTTTTTGAGACTCAAGTTCCCCCAAATATGACCAATTGGAGCCCTTAAAA